ATCTCTCGGATGATCGTATTAAGGAGGTTTGGGCCAAGACCGATATGAACAAACTGAAAGACCATCAGAGGAGTTTCCTAACATACGTCTTCGGTGGTTCGAACAACTACACTGGCCGCAGGTAAGCCGTCGTTTTCGTTGTTATTCATCTTCACGGGTTGCTTTCTGTAGTATGAGGGCCGCTCATGCAGGCTACAACATCACTGATGCCCAGTTTGACGCTGTCGTCGAGAATCTCACAAATACCATGAAGGAGCTTGGTATGTCAGACTCTACTCGCCGCCTTGTCATACATCTCTTGGCCAGGTATTGCACAGGAATATGTCGATCAAGTCAATGCCATCGCAAAGAGCGAGCATGACGATGTCGTCGGGCATTAGAGCCCATCAAGAGGCATACTATCGTCTCTTTTGACATTCTTACTTAGCGTTTTCGTGAAGTCAAGACTGTCGTGTTATTTCGGGTTACTACTAGTATGGGTCGCGGGTAATGATGCGTTTGTCTGGAGCAACAGTTCGAGGAACAGGTCCAGACACAAGAGATCTCCGATCTCAATAGTAGCTCACCACCGGAGAAGATAGGCTGATAACACTTTCAAAGTGTCGCTTTGTACGATAAGATATCTCATGAAAACTAATACCTCCCGTAAGTCTCGATAATATCCAGCCTGTGGTATTCTCAGCCGCATCCTAATTGAGGAGGGTCGAGGAGGTCGATCGACCTCTTCCCAATGCCTCACATAAGAGCAAATACTCCGCTGCTCGCATTTCTTACTTTGGACTGAGGGATCACGATCGTCGCGATGAGCTTTGTATCTCCGGTTTGATCCGAAGATTCGGAGTTGATTTTTTGACTGCTTCAAAATCTTCATTCAGACGTTTTGCTCACAAAGCTGATTTTCCGCATGATTCCATCGAATCTGGGTACTTCCGAAACTCACGCTGTGAATTAGACGTTCTTGACACAGTAAGGGCTAGTCGCTATGCCAGACCAAGCCATTCATCCTCACTGCATATCCGTGCTCGTTGCCGTGGCTAGGGGGATATCAATGTCGTCTGAGAGTAGACGTAATTTACGTCACGTAAATTACCAACAAAATGACGTCCCAAATTCTTGTTGTCTGCATCTTCGAGCTCCACTAAATACTTGGCGACAACTTCTCTGATGCGAAAAGGACCAGTCATCTTGGGATCCAACTTGCGTCCTTGGTGACGTATTAGCATCACGTGCTGCCCCTCTTCCAGTTCAGGGACGCGTGTTCCAGGCATTCGAGAGAGTGATGCCTCATTCTTGTTCTTCAACACATAATTATGTATAGATAAGTATAGATATCGAAGGTCGAAGCACATACGCGTTCCATATTTTTAACCATATACTTCATCGCATCCCGCTGCAAAGCTGCCCGGAACCCTTGGAGCACCTCTGACTCTTTGAGAGCTTCTTCAGAAAGCTGTCTGGGCCGTAACGATGCTAGGGTTGTCGACCCATGGGAGGGAAACAGATCAGCTGGAGCTATTGGGGAGTCTCATCAGCTGGAACATTGTTAGCCCATACCGCAAATGGTAGTGAGCGATACCAGTCAAATAGTTGCAGACCAGACTTGTTGGTGATGATACGCATAATGTTGTTCAATATGCGATGGGGGGATTTCTTGCCATGAGTTCAGCGGAGACGAATTCGCTGGAAAAAAACCTCCAGTTCCACTGGAAGAGCCTTTGGGCAGCCAACCCAATCTTGCTAATGAATCACCATACAAAAGCAATCGAGTAGAACCTCCAGACTCTGGAGTCCAGAGTGGACTCGGTGTCATGGTTCAACAAGGGCTTGGCTATAACAAACTTATTAGCACTATCCACGATCACGATAGAGTACTCGACCTGACAGGTGGATCATCGCCTTGTGATGGAGACGAAAATGGACCAATCGAATCCACACCCACCATCTCCATAGGGATGGGACTCTTCGCCGGAACTGTTCCCAATCCTCCTTCGCGTGAGAGGCGCGACCCTTTAGATTTGGCACAAATAGCACAGTTCTTGGAGTAACGACGTGCATCCTCAGATAGTCCAGGGCCTGGACTCCAGGCCAGTAGGAATCTCGACTAGGTAAGCCGGATAACTTATGTATACTCACGTGACCAAACACGGTATGCATCCGATCAACCAAACTTTGGCGACAATCCGCCGGAACATATTTCGCGGCCCGGGCAGCGTCCCCTCACTGGGACCTGCCCGGGACGCATGCAACTTATATCTCAAATGTTCTCAAATGTCTACATCTACATCCAGCCTGATAGCACAATTATGATGTCTTACACGCTGTATAGAGGGTCATTTTGGAGCATTGTATGTGATGGGCCGTCAACTTTTAGTCTCTCATGTGTGTCCTTATGATGGACCACTTCTCAACTCAATTCATTTGACTTCGTGTTGATGACTAGCAGCTAAGCTGCGAGTGATCCTAGATAGTGTTCCGCTATCATAGGGTGCTTTTTAACCAAAAGTTGCCCGTTGACTGTATCCATAATAGCATAGATATCCTTGTAATGATTAACATTGCGATCTACGGCAGATCGAATAAACTTGACTTCATCATCTCGTTCTTGGGCTCGACGTATCCTCTCAAGAACATCAGCAATTTCCGTCGTTGAACACTGGGTCCTCAGATGCGACAGGAGTGGAGTAGGATCTCGTATGGCTGTGAGCGCCACCGGTATCTTGCTAGGGTCAACGGTACCTTGAGCCATAGAAACCATAGGAGAATGTAGGCACTTATAGTCGACCACATCTACAGTCGCTCGTGAGAGGCAATCTGCCGGATTCATGGTACCAGGTATGAAGCGTAAAGTAGCTTGTAGTTCTTCAATGAGTCCAATGAGAGACGAGATACACGATCTCTCCCATGCTGGTAGCTCAGATGATGAGCATTTACTCTTCAATGCCTTCTTGATACGCTCTGGTAGTTAGCCGAGTTGTCGGTGTAGATGTAAATCCCATGAGGAGTTCTCCTCTGTGGTAGATTAGGAAGTACTTGTTGCTTGATGATACTGAGGCCGTATCTCACTGCCAATAGTTCCTTCCTTTAAGGAAGTTCCTTACTATGTTCCACGACAGATGCGGTAACTCATGTAGCATAGCTTTTGCATAGATCCTGGTGATGTTCTGATCCAAGACTGCAGTACCATTAGCATAGCTAGAACTGTCAACGAAGACGTGGAGAACTTGGGGATCGACGAGACGTGGTATAGGCTTGGGATCTTTCAAGCCTTGATAGACCTTGTAGAACTCATGATATAGGGGACCAGGTAGAAGTTCATCAAAAGTTAAACCACAACGATGAGCATAGCGTAGTATCAGTCTGCCACGAAGCACGGTTTCAGCGATGATTCCGAGTGGATCGTATATACTGGCTAGCCACGATAGAGCTTCGCGGAGGGTTAAGGGGAAGGCGGTCTTGAAGTCATTAGAGCAAGAAACTTGTGGATCACTAGACTCTATGAGAGTACTGGCATAATTGCCGCGGTAACATGAAATTGAAGTTCCGGACAACGAAGTCGATTTTCCAAAACGGACGAAAGGTCTGAAGGTGTACTCGACGAAATTGAGAGTTCTATGACGAATTCGAAGGTTCGAAAGTCGAAATTGAAAGTTCTACTAACACGAACTTGAACTATCGACTTCGGACGAACTTGAATGTTCTATGACGAAGTTGGAAGTTCTAATTGTGAATATGATCTTCCCGTTTCAGATTCGTACCTCCAACTTCGCGCTTCCCGACTAAATTGATGGTTACGAAAACGAACTAGATGTTCAAAAAAATGTAGTCGCGCACAGCAACAACGACGACCCAAGCAATCGCACGCACGCGAGAGGAGCCTCAGCACAAAGACCTTTCCAATGAATCACTTCCTAGATAAGGAGTGAGTAAATTATTCGAGCATCAGCTGCGCCACCTCACACATTTTCAACCTTCAACGGAGATCCTAGGAGAACAACAATGCTCCCACGTTTGAAACAAACGGTCCACGGGACGACCAATGACTATTCAATGCTTCCCAGAGACATGCAACGAGAAGACTAGTTGAGTTTACCACAGTAATATGTTTTTGCGAACTGTTGCCTCACGTTGGAAACTGGCTATACTCTGGTGTACACGTGATATCAACAACTGCATAAAAGGCTGTAGAATCTCGCAGAATCGTGGGAAAGAACTATCCTCCCCTACAAACGCGTGCGTGAAAAGCGGTTTATGTTAACGTTAACATGTTTGTGCGTGCAGTGCTCGTTTATTTGACTCCATTACGTTAGGCCTCACTCCCCTCCGGCTGTATGTCCAACTCATCCATGCACAGATGTGTTGTAATATAACACTCGTGCCGTAGGTATTCTAGGAAAGGATAGCTTGCTGCGCCATGAATGGATGTTGATCTCACTTATAAGTGAAGAACTCGTCGTCTTGAATCGACCCCAACTATGAGGCTCGTATGGTCCGAGGAGCTCTGCTGCGGCTGATCGACTCGCAGCACGAGCTTATTCCCCAGTGTTACACAAGGTCACGGTCGTAGGCCAGGATCTTTTCCTTATCAGTTGGAGGTTTCAACTCGTCTTCCCAGATGGTCAGTAGCTCCCTCTTCGTTCTTCTCCTCCTCCGCTCACTTCCTTCTTATGCTAGAAGGAATGTGTCTGTCAGTAGTCAAGAGTGGGTCATGCCAATCGACGACATCTGCGATACGTTATCTGTTGGTGTTAATAACTTCATGCTTGAAGGCGCCTCGGTGGACCGCGATGGTTCTGTCATGTCGGAGGTGCGAAACATTACGATGGTCCATGAAATTGTCGATTGTGCCAAGAAGTATAATACCAGCACATCCCTCGGATTATGGACGGATGAGTGCCCATTTGGCGAGTGCTCACAGAACACATTTGATTTCTTTACCTTTGAAAACCAGATTCAGCCCTATATCACTCAATATAATGTAGAGGAGGTGAGATATTTCATTTGGGCAGGAGCGTGCCAGCAATTATTCTGGCAAATCGCGCAGAATGTGAGCAACATTATCCGCCACAACTTGGTGACCAAGTCTGGGGAGCCAGTCAGAGCTTCGATTGGGTAGGTACGGCATCCTCATAACTCCGTTCTCAAGCTTCAAGTATGAGTCTACTGATCTGAGCTGGCAACCGCGACATTCATGTTCGTTTTCAGCTTCGCTGTGGAGCCTGAAGACTCACCCCTGTGGAACTATATCAAGTTATCCAAGATTGAAGACTACTTCGATGTCATATCGGTTCACTTTGGACATCCGGGACCTACCGACGAGAGCGTTATTAATGACACGGTCGCACGCAAAACTGTTGATTACCTCATCAACCTCGGGATACCACCTCAAAAACTGGAACTTTCAGTAAGCCATCAGAAGTCCCCTGTCCGCTATAGCGTGTCACGTTTGGAAGATTACTAGTCGACAATCTTGCATTCATTCGTTGTAACTCACTTCAGGTTGAAACTCTCGGCTTCATGGAGAGGACTAATCGACCTATCGATTACAAGGAACTGATCAAGAAGGGTGCGCCTCCCTACTCGGACGGTCACTTCGATGGCTATATCTACCAGTCACAGAAACAAGTTGTGGAGAAGACTCGTATCATTGAGGAAAAGACTTTGTACGGGTTCAGTTTGCCGACCATCCTGAATGACTTACCCGCCAAGAATAATTCTTCTTTACTTCATGCTGCATTTTACTACTCGTGAAGCTCTCAGATGAGTAGGTAAAAGTCGACGAGGATTTTCCTCGGCCGAGTCCTCGATGGACCTTTCTCGGCGGGGGAATTTCTGTTCTCGTCTAC